CTCCTAAAGTCAGCTTTCAAAAATAACTTTTTTTTTAAAAAAAGGCATCAAAATTACAAGAGTTGTGAGAAAAATGATATCAGAGCCCTGCTCAGATCTGGGAGCCAAAGACCTTACAAGATCAAACGGGCCAAACTTTTGATAATGTTCTAGGTGAGGATGAAAAACTATATTTAATGAGACCTAATCAGTTAACTGATCCCTGTGGAGAGGAACAGGACAGTGCCTTGGTCTCTTTTACAGTCAGGACACAATGCCAGGGGTAGCGGCACCAGAGTAGTTTGGAGGTTCTAATGCTGCCCTGGCTCTGTAATCAGTGGACAACATTCCACGCAGCTGCACCTCTAGGAAATGTGTGGGCATTTGGCTGCTTATAAAGGGAGGGAGGGAGGGAGGGAGGGAGAAAAAAGAGAGGAAGAAGGCAGTTCTAAGTGAATGAAGTGAAGATTAGGGATGTGCAAATCACTAGACATTCTGGCTGGATTTATATAGCAGTATGTCAGTCTGGTGTTTTTTTCCTAAATGTTTGTATCTGTACAACCTTGTAATATATGAAGGTGCTTTAAACATCCTCCCCTAATTTAAATAACTATGAATGTGAATAATAGTTCTCCCTCCACCCCAGTGGATTTTTAAAATGGGCAGACTGAATGGGAAAAAGCAGATCTTCAGATATCCATGGCATTAAGGCCTTCAGAGAACAAATCCTGGATTTTGCCTTGTTTTACCTAGAAGCAAATGGAAACCAGTGAAGATGCTATATGTCCCAAAAGAAGGTCCGGACTACAGCTGCCAACTGTGTTTTGAACCAAATAAATCTCTAAGTAGACTTCAAGGGTAGCCCCATAGTTAGTACATTTGCAGTAATCATGTCACTAAGGCATGGGATTGTAGCAAGGCTATCTTAGTGCAGCTGGTGCTATTGGTAGAGGTGTGTGATACACATACATAGTTCTGTGAAAAAGTGTTCACTCCTTTCAGATACAACACATTCTTCTGTTCATTTCCTCCCCTCTCCCCCCTCA